GTCTCCTACTGCTCTGTGGTGATGTCTCTTCTCATCCAGGACCTGTGGGCTCCTCAGAGTCTGTTTCGGTTATCAAATGTATGGTATCGAACACACAGAGCCTGAAGAGCCTAAAGAAAGTTGTAAACAGCGACAGATCAAAAGCGCTCGCCTGCAATCTACACCAGTTTCAAGACCTGGTGTACTTTGAGGATATGGATGTAGTCTGCGTCAATGAAACCTGGCTAAACGAATCCATAGATAATTCTGAGATCCTTAAAGATAATTATATCATTTTCAGGAAAGATCGACCTCACAATCGTGCCGTTGGTGTGCTTTTCGCAATGAAGAACGCTGTGTTCAAGTCTATACACGAAATCCCTCTACCTGAACAACTACAAGGACTAGAGGTCGTAGCGGCTTCGGTCACAACTTCCCAAGATCGAAAGATTTTATTTTGTTCTTTCTACCGACCGCCGGATCTGGATTTGTGTTGGGTTAATTTATTCAATAATTTTCTGGACTGGGTTTGCGAGGACTTTGACAATATGGTAATCTGTGGCGATTTTAATTATCCAAAAATCTCATGGGACGCCCCTGATACCTCCAGAGGTGCCAATGAACAAGCATTCGTAGAGGTGTTACACGACCACTATTTAACTCAAATTCAACGCAAGCCCACGCGTGGCTCCAGTGTTTTGGACCTAGTTATCACCAGTGTTCCAGACAAAACAAGCGTGTCCGAAGTCCTAGAAATAGACAAAGCTGGTTTGTTCACGGATCATCGCACCGTCTTCTTCGAGTTCCACACCTTAGTTAAGGCCCCTGTCAAGACGCACCGTTCTGTGTATGATTATGCAAAAAGAGACTTTGATGGCCTTAGAATTGCTCTGCGTTCAGTTAATCTTACAAGTGTGGTGGGTGAGGGCGACCTTGAAAGCTACTGGCAGACCTGAAAAGATCTATTTCTTGCTGCGGTGAAAGACAACATTCCAACCAAGCGATTAAGAGGTCAAAACCCCGTGCCCTGGCTCACAGGTGCCGTTATCAATCTTATCAAGAAAAAGGAAACCGTACGCAGGAAACTAAAACTGCACCCGTCGGAGTCACTAAAAGTCATATTTCAAACTCTGCGTTCACAGGTAAAGCGCGCGATCAGAGAAAGCAGGGACGAGTTCTTTGAGTCTACTAACATCGAGTTCAAGATGAATCCCAGACGTCTCTGGTCAGTATTAAAAACTCGCTCAAAGTCGCGCAACATACCACAAAGTGTCTCCATGGCAACTGGTAACCTACGTGCAACCGCTGACACCCCAGAAGCAATCGCAGACATTTTAAATAACTATTTCACTTCAGTGTTCTCTGTTCCTCAAGAGGACAAAGTAGATAACGGCGCAGGGAAATTCCCTGCCGCAGAATCCTCCTTTAGCGATATTGTGTTGCACGTCGGCGAAGTTGAGGCTGTCCTAAAATCACTAGACCCAAACAAAGCCACTGGTCCAGACGAGATCCCGGCTAGAATCCTAAAGGAAACCGCTACTGCTATTGCTCCATCACTATGCAAGCTATTCAACAGGTCTCTGGGGGAAGGCTACATACCGTCTGAGTGGAAATTGGCCAATATAGTGCCTGTCTATAAGAAGGATGAAACAGATCACGTTGAAAACTATAGGCCTATCTCCCAACTAAAGTTGTGTCTTGAACCGCATCCGTGACCGATTAGAAGATCTGATTATGGACTGTCAGCACGGGTTCCGAAGTGGACGTTCATGTGTCACAAATCCACCGGAGACCCTAGATTACATCGGTGATATTCTTGATAGAGCTGGTCAAGTAGATTGTGTGTATTTAGAAATGTCCAAAGCCTTTGATAAGGTTAGACATGACCTCCTTATGGAAAAACTGCGGGATGCTGGCTTCGGAGGGAACCTGCTCACATGGTTTCACGCGTATCTCTATGGCAGGCGCCAACGTGTCACCGTACTAGGCGCGACATCACGTGACCTACCTGTCACCTCTGGAGTCCCACAGGGATCAATACTCGGACCTGCTCTCTTCTTGTTATGTGTGAACGACCTTCTAGATTCTATCCTCAATGGCAAAGTGGCAATGTTTGCAGATGAAACTAAAGTATACAAGGAAGTGATGTCTGAGGATGATGGCGCCGCTCTCCAACAAGATCTGGATAATTTGTCTTCATGGTCCGCTGCCTCTGGCCTAGCCTTCAATGAGAAGAAATGCAAGCTTCAGACCATTACGGGGAAGCGCAAGCCTATCTGTACGAGCTACGAGGTTAACGGCAGTGCCATCAAGTCCTGTGAGGTAGAGCGTGACCTTGGCGTCTCCTTGGACTGTGACTTGACTTGGCACGCCCAAGTCTCTCACCAAGCTGCACGCCCAAACAACTTGTTAGGTTTCGTTAGGAGGAACTCTAGGTTTATTCACAGTACTTCCATAAGGCGCACATCATGCCTCGGGCTAGTTCGGGCTCATCTTGGCTACGCAACCCAGGTCTGGGCGCCCCTAGGCATTGAACGTATTTCTAAACTCGAAAGTACCCAAAGACGTGCCACCAAATTCATCCTTTGCTTGCCTTTTTCAACAAATATCTCTTACAAAGAAAGACTAATGTCTGTAAACCTACTTCCTGTGTGCTACTGGCACGAGTTACTAGATCTAGTATACTTTTACAATGCTACGCATAATATGATTCACTTAGATCCGTCTGTTGTTCCCTTCGTGAGAGAATGCGCGCGAAGGACCCGTATATCCGTAACGAGCTCTCAATCTTTTGTGCCTAAAAAATGCAGGACTTCTACCTTTCAGAAATCTTTTTTCATTAGAAAACCACTAGAATCTGGAACCTGCTTATTACTAGACTTGACCTAGATAATGTTACTTTTGAGAACTTTAAATCTGTTCTTTACGGATATTACTCACGGGCTCTAGCAATAAACTATGACCCGGGCTCTCCAAGGAGCTTCAAAAGTATTTGCCTGAAATGCAACACAGCCAGGTTTTTAGACCAGGAAATTAGCTGTTGCATGTGATTTAAATTGCTACTTTTATATCTTTTTATTTTTTGGGTCCGCAGTAATTGGCTTTAGGTGTTGCGGTGTCCCTGCCCTAATATTTAAGTTATTATTAGTGTATTGTTACGTTCTTATTACTAGTGTTTGCATATCTCAGAGGTTTCTTTTTTGTATTCTTCAGGGCAAAGCTTAGAAAATAAAATAAAAAATAAAATAAATAAGAAAACTGTCGAAAGTATTATTTTTTATATTTGCTTAACTTCTTGTAAACTGGAGAAATATAACCCATCATGGTTGTTTAAGTACAAGCCCTTACGTTTTCTGGCTCCAGAGCGTTGTTAGGTAACCCGGTATTGACAGGGGCGGACAAAACCCTTGTTCGCAATGCGTTGTTAAAAGAGAAATTCGACACCTGCGACCCGACGCATTCCACAGTGCTTTGGTGGGGACGGAAAAGCAGAATATAGACTTTGGGTCCAAACAGGCAACCCAACAAACCAAAGGAAGTTGCTCACGTTGTTGAACAGGAAACGAGCGTTACATACCAGCGTTCAGACGTAAACGTAGCCTGCGAAAACAGCCGTTTCTCCTCGCTCTTCGCCGCTGAGGACGTTTCGCGAGGAATAACGTCTGCGATTCAGCTACAGAAATTCCATGCTGATGACGTAAAATCTGTCCGGAATCCGGTCAGAAGCGCTGATTGGTCGACGGAGTACTTACATTGTTTTAGCGATTGTTTTCGAATCACAGGCAAAAGAAAAAAGGCCACGAAGGTCAAATGCCAACGCGATGAATCTCTAACATTACAGTCAAAATTGGTGGATGATATTCTTCTCTAGAAGAAGCATTTGAGTTTTGCTAGAGCTCGTTCGCAGATGAACACAACACTTTAGTAAAATCTACCGGGTTAAACGTAAAATTGAACAAATTTGGATATGGAACCCCATGACTACCGGATGTATTTTGTAAACATTGATTTACGTCATCAGTATGGAATTTCTGTCGCTGAGTCGCACACGTTCCTCCGCGCGAAACGTCCCCAGCAGCGAAGAGCGAAGAGAAAAGGCTGTTTTCGCAGGCTAACGTAAACGGTACAGGGTAATATGCTATTGATGCCAACAGTAAAATGTACATGGAGAATCCTATGTATTTTGTCTCGTTGAAGTTTTCAGGAATTCCTCTGACTTGGTTTGAAGGCGTAATATGTACACAAGAGAGCCACAGTTAGTATGTATAAAGAAACCAAGGAAGACGGGCCCATTTGAATGGATGATTTTTTGGCGCCAAGGGGAGTCAGTACACATTCACAGAACTAACAGGGAGATTTGGACTACATTTACAACACCAATAAAAGTTGTCTGCCTTAAAAGGGTTTTATAACATGGTGTAAACAATTGGCCAATTTTGTCAACCTTAAACATGTTTGTAATCCGCATCGTTTTCGTAAAGAGCACTGTAACACAGGGATTGAGGGCAAAACAACGCCAGCAAATCGCTGCAATGCAAAGTAAGTTTCTGGGTTCAGAAAGGTCGAGAACAGCTAATATAAAGAGAGCTAGGATGCCACAGAGTAACAGAAAGAGATCTCTCTGTTAGAAGCCTTCACGATTGGGGTGTTTAAAACTTGATGTAGGTGCCGGAAACTAACAACGTGAGAATAAATCCGATAGAAGCCATTAACTATTATTATGGTAGTCCCCGTGGCGGTTTTGAGAGTGTCATATGTGAGATGGGTAGTTTTTCACACTTGGTGCCCTCTTTATTAGATGCTGTCTCTGGTTCACACGCTGTGGAGCCCGTGGATCCGATCTCGGTGCTGATGGTTCCCTGAAGACACAACGCAATCCCAGCAATATGGTGAAGTGATTTCGATTCTGGTGCCTGGCAAGCATTCAGATGAACAAAATGACACCGCAGTTGACAGGTTCTTAGAATGTAAATGCAATGTATTTATCTTAAGTTCAGGTGTCATGTCCTTGTTCCATATTCCTACTTCGACCTTTCTGAGATATGTGTCTCTGGCTGATGAAATTTGGAAATTTCTGATGATGTATGAAGCAGTGGAACCATCAAAATCGACGTTTGTAGATATTTTTGAAGATCACGTCCATTAATAGTCGGATAGATCGACGGAAAACTACCTGCAAAAACCTTGTTCAGCTGTACAGCGGTCAATGTTATCCAAAGCGTATGCAATGGCGTACCCAGCATCAATCTTATATGATACGAGGGAGCTGTGTAACTGTGGAAACGCATGATGTAACGTGAAATTCTCCCTGCGGGCCTTAGTTCCCAATTCAAACGGTTAAGCGACTGAACAGTTAAATTGCGATCGCCAGAATTCTCTCCACCATTCTACGCTGATCGTGGCGCTGTTTGCAGGGGTTATCATCTTAACTTGCTCCTCAAATGCAGGAACAGGATAGTCGTATGAATCTATTACTTGTGATCCACTGAGAATCGAGAAGCGCGGGTCTAACGAAAATATTTCTTCGATGGTGTTTCCGTCGTCTAGTTTCAAGGTCTTTCCCTGCAAGTCTTTTTCGGTTGCATTAGTGAAGAAAGTTTCCAGATATTTTCCATAAAGCCAAACGATGACCACCCCTATTCTACGGTGCATCTTGATTTTAAAAAGTGTCTGTTTGAGGTTTTCGTGGCAGTCTAGTCGTAAAGGGCAATGCAAAACGTTTTCCTGTTTCCTTCTTTCTCCAACGCCAAAACTCCTTTCTGTCCATAAGAATCGTCCAAACCGACAGCCCCACGTATGTCCAGTTAAAGAGCTCTATTATGTCTGCCATAGCCACTTATCAGAAGGGGCTGGCCTGAAAGAGTCATTGTAAAGTTGGGAACTCAATTCTATGCTTGTTGCAGTTGAACTAATGGCAGGAATCCCAGCGACCTTTAGTGAGCTTGCTACCAATAACGCACAGCTAGAGTCTAGAAGGGCCTGTTAGTGCTGAAATGGGCTTTGACCCGACCGACCTTGTAAAATTGCTCTTGACAGACGTAGAAGCGTCCGCAGAAAACCATTTTTCTTGTCTAAGTCATCATCTTTATTTTTGCTGCCTGAAACAAAATAGTTGTGAGGTAGCCACCTAGTAATACGTCAGCAACAATCTCTTAATTTCATCGAGAGACCTGATAATCTAAACCGGTTTTTGTGTTTGTATATGTACTTGCTTAATGTTGCTGGTTGACTCTCTAACTCAAGACTAAGCACCAATAATTCCCACGACCTGCTGGACACGAATAGTTTGAGTCGTTTAAGAAAGCTCGTCGTGAAACACTAAATTTTACATATGACAATCTTTTTTGAAGTGAGTATCATTCCAAAGTCATTTATTAGTCATGAGTAAGAAAAAATTGTAAAAAGAAGGCAGCAGGCTGGCAGTATTTGATAAAGAGGACTCACTTTCCTTCTGGAATAGTTTCTCGAGCACAAACAGCAAACCATTACTTTAAGAAGGATCGATCGCCATCCAATTTTTGTCCTAAAATGTAAACTCACTGTAAATGGTGTTTTTGCTAAAGCAGCAAAACTTATCATTTAAATTGGGCACTGCACAAAAGCGTACTCTCAGTCTTGTGCATAGCGCTGTATCACGTCAAGCTACAAAAGAAGCACTGGTTTTGACTCGTGTCAATGCTGTAGCACACGAAGGATGTTTCCACAGGCATCGCATACACTCACATATCTTACCTTGACGTTTCTGTTGGAGCGACTATCTCTGTTTTTAAACCGGCAGAAATTTGGATGACCGCCAGCAGAGATATAAAAGGAACCCCTTCTTTTCCCATGGACAATTTTTTTAGTTTTAAATTGTACAATGACATATGACTTCTAGATCGAAATTAAGTCGTGATTGTTAAGTTACAAAAAATGCTTTTTTAAATGGGGTAAGTAAGCACCTTAAACATATGAGTCGTAAAATGTTTTGTAACGTTCAATTAGGCAATTAAATACAAATTCGCTTTTCAATGTTTTATATCACATGAATTTTCTTAGTTATGCAAAATTTGGTATCTCCACCTGTTTTTTTTGCCTTAATTGGAAATTCCTGTTAGCTTAGTTGTGGGCACGAACGCAAGAGGAAAAGAAATAGACGGAGATAACTAATTTTTGCCCTCCACTCCCCATTTAATGAGTTTCTCTTTATTCCGGATGAAAAATGTTCGGCGGAAGTGCCCTGGAGACGTTTTCCTGCTATTTTGAACTCAAGTCTACGCTTGTGGCAGATGAGCTGATGGTAGTAATATCAACGAATTGAAGAAAGCTTTCAACCAGCACGTGCGCTTGCGGATTGTTTCAGGACCAATAAGTACTGAGAATGAATGAATGAATGAACAACTTTATTAACGTGTCAAAATCTTCTAGCTGGCCACAAGTAGCCTACTAATCGGGGAAACCTAGTTAATAAAATCTATTTAATAAGCTTAAGATTACATTTGATAATATTTACAATAAACATTCACTATAAGATTATGCGCCTATCAATGTAAATCCCGTGAGGGGGGAGTGCGGGCAAGGGGGGATTTGATGCCTGAGACTATCCCCTGTCGGGCTTTTGATCGTGCGAAGCGACCCCGGGATCGGGACATTTGATTTTGACCGACAGAAGCCTAGTATCAATTCAGAAGCGATTACCAAGTCCGTCCCTCGAGGCTTTCTGAAAGTCACGCTGTTGGAGAAAGGTATGAAGTTAATAATGTCTATTTTGAGAAAGGTTTTATCTTCAAGTTCCCATCTGATTGTAAAACTCGATTGAAATCGAATTCCACCATAAAAGTCAGAGGATTTTTTATGGGTCACTGATCCGACCTGTTCCGGCATGTTAAGCAGATGTTATAAAGCATTTTACGTTTCATTAATATTATAATAGCACAGTCAATCTTCCTGGAGTGATTTTGTTGTTCAAAATAGGAGATGCTAGTGGAGAGAGAAAATACTTAATTACAGGGAGTAATTTAACGGAGCTTACATTAACCATAAATAAAAGTAGTAAGAACGTACTTCTGAAATATTCTTTTAATTTGTTTTATATAGTGTTATAGTATTGATTGTTTAGATTTTTTCCCCTGGGGTGGGGGCTTTTTTGACACTTTTGATTGACCTTTCGTTTCCCACCCTGGGGAATTTAATCAAAAAATTTCAAAATTTGTCAAATCCCCACCCCTTGTCCGCACTCCCCCCTCACGGGGTTTACATTGATAGGTGCATTACATTAATAACGTTAAAATATTATATATAAAAATGAATAAATAAATAAGTAATGATAATAACAATAAAATAGTCCACAATCTAATTAAGCTAAAAGTAAATTAACAAGTAAGGTCTCAAGTATTACACAAGTACAATTTGAACATCTGTTCTCAGCTAAGAAAGGTCTTTCTTCCGAATACTCGTTTTGAAGGCCGATAATGTGGCTAGGTCCCTGTCCTTTTTTTGACAATTTGGACCATAAAAATGGTCCAAGGTATCTAATAGAGTGTCTGCCACATTTCACGGTATTGAACCCAGGAATAAAGAAGTCTGAATTTCGTAGGGTTAATTAGCTTGCATCTGTTTGCATGGTACCGTCTGTTGCAAAATTATCTTGCATGAAGTCGTAGGCTATTTTCACGGCCACGTTTGTGCTAAAACAGTAGTTTCGTATGTCATAGCCGAGTGTCACGTTTGACAGAAAAACGGTATTCTTGTTTATGCTTTCAATAGCCAATATTATAGCTTCTACATGTCCAGTCCTGTTGTGAAAAGATTACCGCAGCGATCATCACTCTCAACTAGGGAAGAGTATGCTGAGCAGACCGGCACACCACTGTGAGATGCTAGAAATAGTATCGAAGTCTGTTCATTGAGTTTTTGAGCAGTTGCTTTTGCAAAAATCGCACTTCCGTAAATGCCAGAAAGCCAAACGATAATCACTGCGATTTCAGACTTTTATTTTAGGACATGCAGTTTGACTGATTTTATCTTCGTAGTCTAGCTGCGGGATATACTCAGAAAAGGTAAGGCGAAAGGTGTCTGTGTTTTAAAAATACCATTCTATTCATAAGAATCATCCAGACGCACCACCGCCACGTATCTCCAGTTGAAGAATTCTATGATGTCTGCCACTGCCTCTACTTGGCAAATGTCTGCTGGAACTGTTCTGAAGAGATGTTCTTGGACGTTTGAACTAAACTCTATGCTCTTTGCAGTGGGGCTTATGGCGGGAATATCAAAAATTTGAAGAAGGGCCACCTACTAGTACCGCACCTCCAGTATTGAAAGGTGCAAGAAGTGCTGAGATTACCTTGGCTTTGTTTTTCGTGACACAGCTGTTCGAAAAAAGCTGGCGTTTTGATTAGACCTGGATAATTACCACGCATTAGTTCATAGGCTATTTGCGTGACCAATGCACCGCTCCAACAGTAGTCTCTTAACTCGTAACCGATTGGCACGTTCGGAACAAGAGTGAAATTCGTGTTCATTCTCTCTATGGCATAGATCATAGCCTTTGCATTGCCAAGATCTGTTGTAGAAAGCCTGTTACATTGATTACCAGTTTCAGAATAGTGGGTTTTAAGGAGTCCACCAATTATTATTTTGCCATCTTTATAAATTTTTTGCGCATATTTGGAAGTTGTTTGTTCATAGCCAAAAACGAGTGGTGGTCTTAAGATGCACGAAGGCACTACGTTTTGAATGATCGTCACCGTCCTTGGTTTGGACAGAAACAAATTATAGACTGTACATCTATACCTTTTTCAAGAAAGCATTATATTGTATCCACAAATCTGTATGATTCCTACCTACCTTCAGTCAATCATGTATGAAGGAAACTTGTATTTAAAAGCGTTCACCCTTAACACGCTAGCTGACCTTAGTGTCAGAAATCATTCCCCAAATTTGCCACTTCTGCAATTTCATGGTACACTCCGTATACTAGGTAAAGAAAACTAGCCTCCTCTGTTCCCTCTGTTTAATTGCATGTGGGGCTACCTGTCAATACCCCGACTAGGTCTCGTTCAGTTGTTAATGTTCGTTTTCTTGTCTATACGTTCACTCAGGTTAGCAAACATATAAAAACAGGTGATGAAGGAAATTGTTTAAATTCTTCTTTTCCCTTGTTTATTGGCTAAAAGAATAGCTGGTTGACAAACTGGAGAATTGTAACTTGTCAAAGTTCACTTATACAGTCCCTCTTGCTTTTTGAGTCCAGAGCAACGTTGGGCACTCCCTCATTGATCGGTGCAGGGAAAACTCTTGTTGCCGTTACGTTATTAAATGAGAAATTCATCACCTGCGACCTGACGCTTTGCATGGAATTTTGCTGGGGACGGAAGAGAAGAATGAAGAGTTTTGGTCCGAACATGCAGCCCAACAAGCCAAACGAAGTTATTAACGCCGTAGTACATGATACGAGTGTTACGTACCAGCTGTCAAAAGCAAACGCCACAGGGTAATATGCTATTGATGACAATAGTAGAATGTACATAGAGAATCCTATGTATTTTGTTTCGTTAAAGTTCTCGGGAACTCCTCTTGTTTTGAAAGCGTAATATGTACACAAGTGAGCCACAATTAAGGTGTAACTACAGACTGTGATGAACAGTGCAAGACCAATGTTTGTGTCGAAAGGTTTGCAAACAAGAAAGATGTACTCATCTGAGCGGATGATCTTTTTACGCCTTGGAGGATCCAGAACGATCCACAGGGCCAACACAGACAGGGCAGTTAAATTCATAACAAAAAGGAAGACGATTTGCGTTTTTAAGTTTTTGTAATACGGTGCAAATAACTGCCCAACTTTATCAACCTCAAAAACGGTTGCGATTCGCATCGTTTTCAAAAAGAGCACCGTAATACAAATATTGAGAGCGAAATAACGCCAGAATGTCGCTCCACTGCAAAGTGATTTGCTGGGCTCTGCAAGTTCAAGGACGGCTAAAATAAAAACTGCTGAAATGCCAAACAGCAAGAGAAGAGAGATTTCCCTGCTTGAAGCCTTCACGATTGGGGTATTGTAAAACTTGACGCAAGTGCCGCAGACTAACAATGTGAGGATAATTCCAACAAAAGCCACCAATGTAATAGTTATTCCAGTGGCGGTTGTGAAGGTGATGTTGACAATAGGTAACTTCTCACACCCAGTGTGCCCTTCATTTGACTTTGTCTCTGGCTCACACTTTGTACAGGAGGTGGATCCAATGTTGGTGCTGATAGTTCCAGGTAGACACTTTTTACATTCCCAACAGCATGGCTCAGTGATTTCTTTTCTGGAGCCAGGCAAGCACTCCGACGAACAGAACGAAAACTGAGTCGACAGGCTTTTCTATTGTAATCCCGAGACATTTAAATTGAGTCTAGGCGTACCTTCTCTATCCCAGACTCCAATCCGAATCTTTTTACGAGCTCCTTCTGTGGTTGATCTACTTCGAAAGTTAATAACGTTGTATGAAGCAGATAAAGGATCACCAAACATGTCAAACTGAACTTTGCCAGTTAAACCATCAAAACTAACATTTCGGAGATACATCTGTAGATCACGCCCCTTAACAATCGGCTGTTTTGAGGAGGAACTATCTCTATTCGTAACTAAATTGTGGTTAATGTTATCCAGAGCGTGCGCAATAGCGTAAACAGCGTCAATGTCATACGACACGAAAGAATTCCTGATCTCTTTTTGGGGCATTGTGTAGCGTTAGATTTGATTCGCAAGTTGAAATTTCTTCCCAGATCGATTGCTGAGCAGTTGAATTCGAATCTCCAGAATTCCTCCCACTACTCTCTGCCTCTTTCAAGGGTTTTTGCAGGGGTGATAATCTTAAGATGCTCTTCAAAGTCGGGTACGGGATAGTTATGTGGCTGTATTCCTAAGGAGCCATTAAGCATTGCGAAGTTAGGGTCAAGTAACACAGCTTCTTCAGAGGTCAATGCATCGCTGAGTATCCAAGTCTTTTCTACAAGGTTTTCACTTGTTGCCTCTCGAAAAAATTCTCTACCATAATCGCTTGCTAGCCAGACGACGATCACTCCGATATTAGACCTGAGCTTAATCTTAGCAATCGTTTGCTTGATCTTATCATGATAGTCTCGTCGTGGGATGTGCTCCGAAAAGGCAACGCAGAAGGTTTTTCTGTTGTAAGATTCTTTCTCTAGTGCCCAAATACCATTCCGTCCATAAGAGTCATCCAAACCCACAGCCGCCACGTATGTCCAGTTAAAGAGTTCTATAATGTCTGCCATGACCTTTGCCTGCCAGATGTCAGGTGGAACTGTTCTGAAGAAGTTTTCGTGCAATTTTGAACTCAAGTCTAAGCTTGTGGCAATTGAGCTCATGGCAGGAATGTCAACGACTCGAAGAAAACTTCCAACCAGCACCGCGCTGGCGGAAGTGTCAGGACCAATAAGCACTGAGATCGGCTTGGATCCGTTTTGCATGGTATTGTCCGTTGCAGAATTATCTTGCATGAAGTCATAGGCTATTTTCACAGCTATGTTCGTGCTAAAACAGTAGTTTCGTATGTCAAATCCGAGTGTCACGTTCGGAAGAAGAACGGGATTCTTGTTTATGCTTTCAATAGCGTATATTATAGCTTCTACATGCCCCAGTCCAGTTGTGAAAAGATTACCGCAGTGATCATCACCCTGTGGTAAGCGTATGCTGAGCAGACCCCCGACTATTACGTCGCCATCCCTGTAAGCTCTAAAATCGTGGTTGTAGAATGTTTGTGGAATAAATGGGGATATAAACAGAAATAGTCTTAAGAGCCTGGAGAACACTTTACTTCTCATCCAAGTCATCGTCTTTATATGCTGTGCAGTACCCTGGAGGAAAATCATATTGATAGACATTTGGACATGCTAACATGATTCCCCTGAAATATTTCCCACGCCCGCTGGAGATAGCCAGACACACAAAAAGAAGTGTAAAGTATCAAATTACTATCTTTAGGCCGTTTTGTCCTTTTAACTCGTGTTTAACAAACGGAAAAGGAAATATCAAAGGAATTTGGATATAGCCTCAACAACTTGATTAACATGATTAACATATACCCCTACGTCTTATTTTATTGTGAATAATATTTCGTGAATTGAAAGGAAGGGTTGTCCGACGGCGGTTTTCACCTTGCCGAGGACGATCGACGTTTACCCTTTACTGGAGGAAAAAGGTGTCATCAACCGTTTCAGTAACTGTGACTATGATAGTTTACTAGAGCGGGCCGATACATCCAGCCTGGCAAATACGAGAATTAGCAATATGATGATGTGTATTTTGAAATGCATTAACTTTATTAACTATCCAGCATACCTTAAAGAGGTATTTCAGTTTAGCACGACTGACTAAAGCTTAAGAGGTGCGAATGTGTTAGTCTTGCCAAACCCCAAACAACTGTATAGCCTTAACTCAGTTAAATATGCCGCACCCGGGCGGAGTGGGGGGGGAGGGTGGTGTACTTCCTTATAAGAGGCTAATGGGGATGTGCCACTGGACGGGGTCGCATTTTCAAGAAGTTGCTAGAATGGGGTCGCCAATTTTGGATTTTTTTGGGTAAGACGGTTCTTCATTGTTACGGTTAGCAAACGTACCAGAATGTTTGTACTGTAGAATAAAAGTAAAGTGTTCTTCGTTCAATCTAAAAAATGGGTCAATTCATAAAAATAGAAAGTGACTAAGTCGGGATTGCGAAAATTACATATTTTCTGCAAAAGTGACTAAGATGGGGTCTACAGAATAGACTATAATGGGGTAGGGGCTCTGAGAGGCCAGCGGCACATATCCAGCAAAAATTAACCCAAGAACCCTCCCAGGGATGCCGCAGCGAGATATTGGTCCTCGCTTCCTGATTCTTTTAGGAGAACCAGTAGTCTGAAGGAACTTAGATGTCTACTTGTTTCCCATAGTTTCATAAATTAGACGTTTACTATTACCAACAGTTTGTGTTTTCATCTTAATATGATTTTTATGTGTCATGATGTATGTGTAATTCAACGGAGATACCAGCCTTAAGGCTCCTTTAAAATCCCAAGTTAATAAAGTTATGAATGTTTGTAGTAGTAACTTTGACAATTTTGTTACTCAGAAGGTGTAAATGGTTTATCATTCGAAAAGCCTTCAAGTCAAAGCCGTAGAGGAAACATTAAAATTGAGTGAAAAGGTATTTGTGAACAGTCTGACTCAAAATGGCACACTGTAGAAACAGTAATATATTGACTTCTATCGTCATTTTCAAAACGACCAAAAATAATCGTTTCGTAATTGGAGGTTAGAGAAAAAATTGAATTGTTGAGTTTAGAACCCTTTCCATTCATATCCAGAAAGGTCAATAAGCTAAAAAATATTGTCATATTCACAAGGTGTCTTCTGATTTTAAGATAGCAAATTTCCGAGCAGGAATTTAGTGCAACAGGGAACTACATGTAGTACTAGTAGTAACCTTACCGATACATAAAGAACATTTAGTATGCTGGGAACGGTTCTTCGCTCTGTTAATCTTGCGCCAAATTAGTGACAAAACCTGTTCTTTTTTAGTTTCACTTGTATATTTTTCGTATTAAACGAAAAATAATCAACTTGGGCGATGTCAAGAGAAGTAATAAAACGATTGTTGTTTTACAATACCATCTGTTTTGAGTGGGTCAATTTCAAATTTAAATAAACCATTAATTTTTTGGTAATCTTCTCATTGAGTGAAACCATTGGTAGTTTGATTGGAAATTTGGACTAGTTTGACACCCGGTGATCGGATAAGTCATTTACCGTTTAAAGTGCTCCTACGACGAAAATGTTTTGCTTCATTTCCTACTTTTTAAAAGGTTCGAAGATATACAATTCGGGCTAAATTAGATACTTGCGTTCTCGGAGTGGACATCTTTGATTGAAAACTCGCAAAAACCGACTGCCTTTTTTCGTGACACGCAACATAAAGCCAGTGAGATTTTAGTGACGTGGTCTTACCTTTTACCACATAATTTGTTGTCTTGTTGTGACGTAGCAGACTAGTCTTAAGACTAATGGTTGGTTCGTTGCGTCGTTTTCAGAGTGTGAAAAATGTTTTACTTAACGTATTTATTATCTGATTCATATGAATACGATTAAGAACAATGTTTTATTGGCAGATTGCTTTGAGATGATAAAAAAAGTCCCTCGCTATCGATCAAGAAGGCGCGCTCCGAACAAATGTAAGAACTATAGGTCCAGAGAAGATTCACCCAGCAAGCCGAAATAAATATATGTGAGCTTACGAACGAGAAATGCTATATGTTGTGCAGCGGGACGGTTTTGTTAAACATATCGTATGCCTTGGAAACTGCCAGCCGGGAGGTCAGCCTTTTTTTCACATTTAATAATCATTGTGAAGCTCATTGGCTCCCTTGGACTCATTTTATCAGATAATTTGGAGCAGTTCTCCCACAAGTATTGTGAACACTGCTTTTTATCCGCATGCACAGTGTATAAAGAAGGATTTTGTCTTATGGTGAAGGGAAAGAAAAGATTTTTGAAATTTTTCATTGAGTATTTTAAGCATATCAGCAGGTGCCCGGGTGTTAATTTGTCAAATACAGTAATAACTAAGTGGTTTAAAAACCGGCTAGCAGGAGTTTGTCATTTTATTTCTCAGAAAAATATAAAAACCTGTTTAGCCAAGCCAGATCAGGCAAGTTTTTATGTGTGGGTTTTAGTTAGATTATTCCCGAAAATTTTCACCAAAGAGTTTGACTTTGATATTGCAAGTTTATATTACAAGAAAATACTTTACTTTAGCTTAAATGTTCCTGCTCATATGTTTCGGTCCTCTTCGATGTATTAATTTAAATTTATCCTGTAAAAAATGCATACAGTTGAACCTCTCCACAATGGCCACTTTGGTGACAGAAGAAAGCGGCGGTTTTAAAAAGGTGGCCATTGTAGAGAGGTGGCCGTTCGTGGAGGTTACTCCTAATACAGGTGACAGAAATCAGTAAATATAAACGAAATGTATAATGTCTCAGAATAAAAACTTAAAACTTTATATGATTTATTTCATATATCATTAACACTATATAAACTTCGTTTTAAAGACATCTAACGTTTTAATTACCAGCTTTCAAATGAGGTGGCAAATTACTAAAAGTTTGGATTACAGTATGAAATTGCAGCCTTTCTTTGCAGATTCTGTACGTGGCTTAGGAATTAAACCTTTACGCCTAGTGATGACTTGATAAAATAATTCCTAAACAAATCTGGAGCATTTTTATAGACATACTTAGACCTTCACGTAAACTCAAAGGTTGGATTATGTATACAGTCGAACCTCCACAACGACCACCTCCCTACAACGGCCACTTTTTTGGCGGACAGTCAATACATTGACTCTTGATGTTTAAACCTCCCTACAACGGCCACCTCTCTACAACGGCCACATTCTTCTGTCCCTAAGGTGGCCATTGTGGAGAGGTTTAACTGTAGTAGAACGTGCCTTATGGGACACTCAGCTTTATTGGAATAACAGCTAATTGTGTGAGGCTATGTTCACACTACAGTCAAACTTCTTTAATAAGGACACCAAAGGGACAGAACCAAGTATCCGCTTTACAGAGGTGTCGGTAATATAGAGGTAGGAAATGTATGATTTTTGGCATTTCTGGGACCAAACGAACGGTCCGTATTATAGAGGTGTCAGTAAGGAGAGGTTTATAGTCAGTCTATATCGGATACCTTTTACGCCGGCACGCCAGAAACTTCACTAAGCTTAGCAAAGTCAAGATGATTAAGTTGCACAGCGGTTGGGTTTAAATATTGCATACTCAGTTTTCTTAGGATGACAGAACAGATTGTTCTTGTTTGACCAATCCCAAAAAGAATTTGAGCTCTTCATTTAACACTTAAAATAGCTGGTTTGCATCCGAGGCAGCGTAATGGAGGACTGTATCATCTGCTTACATAAACTCATTGAAAGCTGTCAAACAATTAGGTAGATCTGTGACAAACAATGAAAATACCAAAGGGCCCATAATACAACCTTAATGAACTTTGGACACCATTTGTTGTGGAATGGACATATTACACCTCTTAGGAAAATAGCTGGTTACGATCAGTAATATAAACAGTCATCCGGTGATGTTCACTTTCACAAATCCAAAACACTTGCAGCTTATGAGGTCTATCTGGAAGTTATGTTATCAAATGACCGGTAGTGGAATTCTCGTGTCAGTATAAATGTTACAAAGTAAATAAGCCATTCGGATTTGTGAGACGTAATATATACCCTAAACACAAAACGCTAAACCTAAAATTTGTTACTATTGTTATACCAAATTTAGAGTATCCTACCGCGATGTGGGTTCCAAACCAGCAGGAGTAGATCGATACAATTTAAGAGGAACAGAAACGTTAAATAGGCGATGATCTATGATAACCGTTACGAATATAGGTAGTTGATGTAGATAGGTGTAGTTGCTATAGTTTGTTGTAGTTTTTGTGGTTGCTGTCGTTGGTGTAGTCTTATGTAGTTCCAGTAGCTGCTGTAATTTCTGTATTTGGTGTAGTTTTCTTTAATTGGTCTAGTTTGGTGTAGTCGTTGTAGTTAAGTGTAAATGGTGTTATTAGGTGTAGTTGGTTTAATGTAGTTTCTGTAGTTAGTGTAGTTGCTGTAATGTGGTGTAATTGCTGTAGCTGGGTTCAGTTTGCTGTTGTTGGTAGAGTTGCTGTAGTTGGGTTAGTTTGGTGCAGTTGCATTTGGTACATTTAAAGCTGCTGTAGTGATGTGTACAACCTACACCAACCTGCACCAAATTTTTTTCGTTTGGAGCAACTTTTTGCATTCCGAGCAATTTCTTGTTTTTTGCCAATTCTGAGTTATCGGAGCAGCTTTTAGCTTTTAAATTTCCCTTTCTTCCATGTTTCACAATTGTTGGTAGACAAGTTATGAATTTGTTGTGAAAAAAGAGCCAGATTCCCCCCTCTGGGGCAGATCACGGTTTTTAAAAAAAGTTCAAAATGATGGACGAAGGTGATGTATATTTCTGGCCATGTAACAACAACAACATCTCACATTTATCTGCACCATCCTGCACTAACCTGAACCTAAGTGCAGCATACTGAAGCAATTGGCTCCAAACTGCAGCATCCTGCACAGGTTGCACAAATTTGCGCTAGTCTACACAATTCTGCACAATCCTGTACCATCCTGCACCATTCTGCACTATCCTGCACCAATCTGCTCCATCCTTCACATACCTGCACCTACCTGCACCATCTTGCGGTAGTCTGCACCAACGTGCACCATCCTGCCCCAACTTTGACCAATATGTACTAACTTGCACCTTCGTTCAACATCCTGCACTATCCTGCACTACCTTTTACCATCCTTCACAGTCCTGCAGCATTCTGCACCAATCTGCATCATCCTGCACCAACTTGTATCATTCTGTACCAGTTTGCAACATTCTGTGCCTGTCTGCACCATCCTGCACCAACTTTTACAAACCTTCTCCACCCTGAACCATCCTACACTATCCTGGCCCAACCTGCAACATCATGCACCACCCTGAACTAACCTGCACAAAAATGCAGCGACCTGCACCATCCTGCTATAATCTGTAACATCTGGCACCAGCCTCCACCAACCAACACTAACTTGGACCATCCTACACCCTACTGCACCAAACTGCACCATCGTGCACCAACTTTCACCATCCTGCACTTACTTAAGCCTACCTGCACTTTCCTGCAGCAATCCGCACCAACCTGCATCAACTTTCACCAACCCGCATCAACCTTTACTATCTTGCACCATCCTGAACTATCCTGATCCAATCTGCAACACCCTACTCCATCCTGTATCATCCTTCCGCAATCTGCACTATCTTGCACCATCCTGCACCATTCTGTACCATTCTACACCATCTTGCCCCAATCAACACCATCCTGCAGAATTATGAGATCAATTTTGACGCCAGATATAAAACATAAATCGCGTTCTTGTTTTGAAAATGCACTTATATTTCCTGCCGGAAAAATCTAAAATGAAGTTAAACAACAGTGAAATAAAGTTACTTTAGCTTACTCATCATTCATGCGGTCTTAAAGCCTGCTTCATCATGCAATCTAGGCATGATACATGGTCGTAAAAAGGGTGTTCCAGAATGGCTGAGGTTTGATTTGGTGAAAGCTGTATGTGCAGGTCATGTTCCTTATCTGTTCATTCATTCGTCTCCCAATTCGAGTATTCGGAATTTGTCGAATTCGACACTATGGAAAGGGTAGCAAAGACGCTGCTTTGGAACAAGCCAAGAGCTCAAAATGTTACATCATCACAACTAATTTTGGCTAGCTTTTTTCGATTGGCGGAATAATGCAATTGACTTAAATCGTGCTAACTCCGGGTTAGCGATAGATTTTCTAGAGGCCGCTTACAGTATCTCAGATTACGTCATCAATGAGGTGAAAAAGCGTGTTAAACACACTAGATAAGATGAGATAAGATAAGAACCTTTATTAAGTGTCAGAGTATTTAGCCCAAAGGGACTAATTGGGGACATTAACTATTAAAAGAAAATGCTAAAAATGAGTATTTACAATAAAATCTATACCCTTAATAAAATACAAAGGAAAGTATACAACTACAATACTGTGATACTTAAAATGTTGTCTATTCACTTCAGAGTTTATATCAGCTTCTATTATCAGAAATATATCCTGAAAAGTTTAATTTTCTAATTTTGTTCCTAAAACTGGCTACGCTAGCTAGAAGCTTCTCGTAGGAGTCTTTGTTTAGTTTAAACCATAAGAAGGGACCTATATATATGATCGAACCATACTTGACTTTATACATCAATACTACGATGTCTTGAAGTCTGTTATACAACCTGGGAAGGTTAGCCCTCTCTAAGAGTTCTTCATACGTATCCCAGTGGGATCTACATATGGTTCGACTCAATCCCCGTTCTTGTATTCGTTCCACCTTCCTTTTGTCTGACGACTTACAAAAATGTCATATTAGGTGGACAATATGTAAGTTTGGACAAAATAAAAGCTTCATACAGCAACAGCTTAGCCTTAGATGGTATTAAATATCTTAAACGACATAGTATCCCGACCTTTTGGCTAGTCTTAATATACAGCTCACTTATATGCTTCTTTTAATCAAGGTCGTCGTCGATGTGGACTCCTAGTAGCTTAATGTCCTCTGATTTGTTAATGGGTAGGTCATCCAGGATTAGCACTGCATCACTCGTATCTCCTTCAATTTTTCTTGGGTTGATATTTAGGAAATGAAACCTCTCTTGGTTAGCTGATAAAAGGTTACTTGAATACCATATCAGAGCTTGCTTGCTGCTTGTTTTCACTTGCTGTCTAACTATTTCGTGATTTGTTCCCCTCACATGCAATTGATGGTCATCCGCGTATATGGTTATGTTTCCATTCTCGACATGCAACGGTAAATCATTCTGGAACATGTTCCAGAGTAAGGGCCCAAAGGATGATCCTTGCGGACATCCACATTTCATAGGTTTCCAAATGCCTGTAATTTCACCCAGTTTTACCCTGTTTCGACTGTTTTCAAAAAACGATCGCATCAAATCGAGACATCCACTCCCAAAGACAAAACATACAAGATAAAGAAGTCTAGTGTGTTAATGGCTGAAGGAAGGTACAGATTGAGAAGTTTAAAGTATTTTTCCATGTTACTGGTAAAAAGAATGGCTTGTTGGCGAACTGCAATCCAGTGTTTTTAATTTTCGGTATTCAGCGCAGCGTTAGGTACTCCTTCATTAATTTGTCCCGGCAAAACTCTAGTTGCCATGACATTACGAAAGGAGAAATTCATCACCTGCGACCTGACGTTTTTGATGGTGTTTTGCTGGGATTGGAAAAAGAGAATGCAGATTCTGGGTCCGAACATGCATCCCAACATACCAAACGAAGTTACTAAAGTCGTAGTACAAGATACAATTGTCACGTACCGGCTCTCAAAGGCAAACAGCACAGGGTAATATGCCAGCGATGACAACAGTAGAATGTACATAGAGAATCCTATGTATTTTGTCTCGTTAAAGTTCTCGGGAACTCCTCTTGTTTTGAAAGCGTAATATGTACACAAGAGAGCCACAATGAGCGTGTAAGCACAGACTGCGATGAACAGTGCATGGCCGACGTTGGTGTCAAATGGTTTGCACACAAGAAAGATGTACTCATCTACGCGGATGACTTTATTACGTCTCGGGGGGTCAAGAAAGATCCACAGGGACAATAAACAAAGGAAAGCTAAATTTATACCTGAGAGAAAGATACCCTGCCTTGTTAGGGTTTTGTAACACGGTGTAAACAACTGCGCCACTTTATCCACTTCAAAAGCGCTTGCTATTCGCATAGTTTTCAAAAAGAGCACTGTGATACAAAGACTGAGACCAAAAAAGCGCCAGAAAAATGTTGCGGTGCAAAGTGAATGGCTTGGCTCAAAAAGTTCGAGGACGGCTAAAATAAAGAGAGCTGAGATACCAAATAGCAACAGAAAAGAGATCTCTCTGTTAGAGGCCTTAACGACTGGGGTATTGAAAAACTTGATGTAGGTGCCTCCTACGAACAATATCAGAATTAAACCGAGGGAAGCCACCACTGTTGTGGTTATTCCATAAACATTTAAGTGCGTGATGTTGATGACTGGTAGCTTTTCACACCTACTGCGCCCCTCGTTTGACTTTGTGTCTGGGTCACACTTAAAGCAGCTAATAGATCCGACTTTGGTACTGACAGTTCCTAGTGGACACTTAATACAATCCCAGCAACATGGCTCGGTTTTCTCCCTTCTGGTACCAGGTAAACATTCTGATGAACAGGAGGATAACGGGGTGAAGGGAGTTCTCCATCGTAGGCTGGACAAATCTATTTTTAGTTTGGGCGTGTTTTTTTTGTTCCAAGAACCAACCAGAATATTTTTGCGGGCTGCGTCTGCGGTTGAGTCAAGCTGATAGTTAATGATGTCGTATGAAGCTGTTAAAGGATCTCCAAACTTGTCAAATTGCACCTTGCCAGTCAAACCGTCAAAACTGATATTTCTGAGATATTTCTCCAGATCACGTCCTTTGACAGTCGGCTTGACTGGAGGACACTTTCCTCTTTTACCAGCACCATGTATAGTAAGAGAACAGCGGTAAATGTTATCTAGGGCGTGTGCAATAGCATAAACAGCGTCAATGAGATACGATACGAAGGAGTCGCGTATCTTTTGTAGCGCATGGTGTACCGTCAGATTTGCTTTGCAAGGTGCGAGCCCAGAATCATCGGCGTTTATGGCTGAACAGTTAAAATGCAATCTCCAGAACTCTTCCCACCAGTCTGGGCCTCTTCCAATGCTTTTGGCAGGTGTGATCGTCTTAAGGTGCTCTTCAAATTCGAGTACAGAATAGTCATGTGGTATTATTCCCAAGGAGCCGTTTATTATAGTTAAGTGAGAATCGATATATAATATTCCCGTCGTGGCCAGTGCGTCGCTAAGTATCCAAGTCTTTTCTTCAAGATTTTGAACAGTTGCTTCTTCAAAAAATGCTCTTCCGTAACCGCCAGAAAGCCAAACAATGATCACTGTGATTTCAGACCTCCTTTTAATCTTGAGAACAGTTTCCTTCGTTTTGTTCTTATAGCTTAGCCGTGGAATGTACTCAGAAAAAGCAATGCAAAATGTTTTCCGGTTGTAGGATACTTTTTCGAGGGCCGAAATACCGTTCTGTCCATAAGAATCATCCAACCCGACAGCCGCCACGTATGTCCAGTTAAAGAGCTCTATGATGTCTGCCATGACCTCTGCTTGCCAGTTGTCTGGTGGAACTGTTCTGAAAAAGTCTTTGTACATTTGTGAACTCAACTCATCGCTTGTTGCACTCGGGCTGATGGCGGGAATGTCAGAAACCTGAAGAAGACTTCCTACTAGCACTGCGGTGCCAGAATCGATAGGTCCAACTAACGCTGAGATGGTCTTGGTTTTGGTTTCGTTGACATAACTTGTGGGGGAGGTGCTGACGTTTTGGTGAGACATATGTATTGGATCGCCATCGCACATGAAGTCATAGGCTATTTTCATGGCTCGAGCATTGCTCCAACAGTAGTCTCTTAAATCGTAGCCGATTGTCACGTTCGGTAAAATACTGGAATTCTTGTTAATTTTCTCAATAGCGAATATCGTAGCCTCTGCGTATCCCAGCCCTGTAGTAGAAAGCTCAGTACATTGATCATCAGTGCCGGAATAGTGGAAGTTGAGTAGACCACCAACTATAACGTCGCCATCTTTATACTTTCTATATCCGTCTTTTGAGGATGTTAGTGGAAGAAATACCAGTATAAAGAGAGGCGGTCTTAAGATGCCTGAAAGCATTATGTTTTTCCTCCACTTCATTAACCAGGTGTGGTTTGCACTAAAACAAATAAAAGGAATATAGATTTAATCTTGCGAACAGTTTCAAGAAAAAGATGCGTTCAGAAAGAAGTACGGCTTACCCAACAACAGTCAAACATTTATTGCACAAACTTGTTTCTGTAAATTGCTTAAAAGTTCCCGATATCGTTTCCCCAAATTATTGTAAATCTGGCGTATACTAAACACCTTCACATATTTTTAGCAGTCAAAGTAATCTTTTTAATCTTTTAACTCGGAGTTACCCAAAGGGTATCTGCGATTTATATAGGTCTCTATAGTGTTGGTTGCCATGTGCAAATGAGTTCCTCACTTTCCTTGTGTGGGCACTGTTACATTTGTGTCAACGGTAAGGCAAAAGGAAGATGATGCAGTCTTCCTATGATGCACTTCGCCGTAATATATTATCGAATTGGTTTGTGACGTCACCACTTTAAAGATGGATGCAATGAGTAAACGATTTGATCAAGCTTCCGTCTTTGGGGAAGATACAGACGTGATTTATTTGCACTCTTGCGATTTGAATACCCAGTTCGACTTTACAGTACCTTCTATGCAGTTTTTACGGCTGAATGTGGTCTTGCGGCCAATTCATTTTTGTCAGTTCTTTGGTGGAGAGGCGTTAGTAACCTTAAGCTTATATGTTATCAGCTAACAGACGAATTTTTCACGGCGGAGCGCTTGGCCTGTTTGAAATGCAACCAAGGCAGCGACGTTTTGGAGCATTTTGAGGTGCATGTTTACTCTATGGTCAAGAAAATTTCGTCTTTAAAAGGAAATTTATGTATTTATAAATGTTTCATAGACATGTAAGTCATTTTGGTATCATTGTTTCAAGAAAAATTACAAAATGTACTCCGATTGGAGATGGCGTGATTTTGTGTTGAATTTTGCCGTGTGCTCAGCCGATTTGTACTTGCGTAAACGGATCCACGATCTAGTTAGAATTTCGCGGATTGCTTTCAAGGATTAACTAGTGGATTTAAATCAATAAAATTTTACATAAATAATTTTTCTGCTTATGGTTTTGTGTTTGTTCATTCAAAACAATGGCTCAAAACGCGATCGTGAGACCAAGTTGACTTTTTTATGCCACTCACATTACACGTATCACTTCTGCGAGAGATGACTGCCGACGCTTCCAAAAGCTACGAGACTGGATCAGGCAACGTTAAGTTTACAGTCAAAATTATCTTCTTCGATCGTGATGCAGTGATAGGCAGCAAGAATTATGCACGTCAAGAATATCTTTCCAACGGACTCGGGACAGCCGATCAGCCGATCAGCCAGCCTGAGCAACAATGGGTTTTACAGTAAACTTTATTTTACAATGAACAGTTTAGAACACCGATAATGTGTGACATGTTTAGGGAAGCGTTACATTTGTAAACAAAATCCTTGCTTAACGACATTTTCGTTTACAATTTTCATTACATTTACTTCCCCAAAACCATCCCAAGTAAAATATATTATCATTGTATAGCAGCCTTATACATAAACACAGCTGTGTCTTTTAAGTCAAGCATAACAAAAGTTTATTATTGCTGGCCTCCTATTTTCGATCCCTTATAATATTCGAAAAGAACATCTGGATTTTGGATATCCTCACAATATTAGTGTGTGACATGTGTTACCATGCCAGGAAAATATTCATTCCCCGTAAGTCAAGTCAGGGAGTTTCAGCATACGTCAGGGACATTAAATGTAACTCTTTCAAACAAGCCAGAGGGAGGTGACATATTCCTGCATACTTACCGAAATTAAACATGCTCCATTGGCAGAATTTTGTATCAAGAAATCAAATGACAAGCAGATATAGGGTTTCCTATGAGATCCATCCATTCTGCACTTTACATTCACGAGAAATTCATGTATTAAATAGGTGGTCAGGATGGCTGTGATGGGAGGTTTGGGCATTTACTTTGTGTAACAGACACAGATGACATATAAAACAAAAGAACAAAAAACCATGAAAACATACCAAGCAGATTTTCCCTGAAAAGAAAACAAAGAAGTCTTTTGCTTTACATCATCTGTGTCCAGTACACGAAGTTTTGACTGCAATTTGGAATACATTAATATCTGCACAAATTGTCAATTCATTTGGTCAGGGAAAGTGTACATTTGACTGGCAGTCTGGGAATTTAAAAAACTATGCCTCTGGCAACCATGTCTCAACAGGCTCATGCATGTTGATCGAGAATTGAAATACTGATCACCTTCAACACTACTTGTATGTGGACATTTCATACAAATTCACTCTTGCATGAGTATTTGTTTCTCATGCATGTACACAAATATCTATAAACACTTTCATAAATGATTTGGTATTTTTTACTGTGATAATTCAGTGCTAATGTTCAGTAATCATGAGTCATGATCACTTTCACAGTTCTCCTTAACTGCATCCTTAATGACATAGCCTGGGACCAGGCTCCGTAGTGGGGGAAAAAGGAGAAAAAAAAGGGGGGTCAAATAGGAAAAATATCAGATTGCTACATGTAATTTCTATTTTAGTGTAAGTGATTATGTTTACACCTTACTGTTACAAACAATTAGTTGTCAAGTGTGATTATGTACTACAAGTGCAAACACTCTCTTGCTGTAATCACTTAACAATAAATATTTTTTCTCCAGTTACCAGAATTTACTTGTTGTTTCCACTGCAGCATTATCTCCTACCATTTCATCCACTCCCTACTACTGACACACTTCACAAGTAATTATTATTACACATTAAAGATGGAATGTGTTTGCTGCATATTCGCCTGCAGTTATTCACTATCACACCCATTTTCTTTTACTATAATTACACATGTAGGAGGGTCAAATGGGGTAAACACGGGACCTATGAAACATTGGCTACCCTTCCTTAACAAGACCAACCCAATTTAAAAATACACATATTTCTAGTAAAGTATATACAACATTATGTATGCAGAGGGAAATATCACTTGTAGATCTACTGTGGAAAAGCTTCATCATTAAAATTCAGCTCTCTTTTCGTGAAAATAAGGCATTTAATTATACATTAAGAGTCAGTCTCCCTAAAAGCGTTCCACTCGATTTTGGACTCGAAAAAACTTTTGCCCTATAATTTTACCATCAACACTACTATCCATCCTAATAACGAAATTGCAGTTAGAATGAGGTAATTGTTTCATTTACTGCCATTCCCAGCATTTCATTGCTGGACGGTCGTTAGCGACTAAAATATGCAAATTTTAGTCTCAGCAAAAGCAAAAAGCCTCAGTTATTCAAAGCATGCCACTTTGAAGTAAGATATGCCTCATTTTCCCACCAAAACTATATTAAAATTCCCTTTTTGCCTTTGCCAATGATGTATATTGTTCAAAAATTAGTTCAGCATTGAGTAAAAGATACCGTTCCAAGCTTTATGTACTTTCCCACTGCCCAGAACATTCGTTTTACGTCCGTTATGTCAAGAGGGAAAAATACCTTTTCAGAACCAAATCTCTTCTAGCTTAAAACGTGGTCCGGTCCAGTCTCAAAAAGCTGCATTGACCAGAACTTACTCCGATCCATCATTGTAGTGTATCGAGCGACTAAACAGCTTAAATACTCTCACTGAACACGACGAGTCAACAAGCACATTTTTCGGACTGACAGAACAACGCGACAGGGGTCAAGTGACCCCTAACAAGGTCCCAGGACCGCACATTCCTCCCCCTCAAGTTCCTAAACAATATGTGGCATCTCGCCTTGAACTAAATGTTCATGGCGGCTGGAGGGGTCCATCAGTAATAACGCTGTGGTGGTCTTCGGTCCCTTACTGGGTATCGCCGCACCGTGGTGGCAGGTACTAACCTTGGGTCTTCGGGTGCAGTGGGTGACTCCAACTCCCCACAGGACTATTCACATCGGATACTGCAACCTCCGGAACAACATTTCCCTCGTTGCTATGTCCTGCCCTTTGAGCTGTCGGACTGGGGCGAAGAGGCTCTGTAGTACGAGAAATTAATTGGTCATGATGTCTCCGAATTACCTTTCCATCTTCTAGTTCGACTCGCACAGGTACAGGGCCGGTTTCCTGGATGATAGTTACCGGGACCCACTTCGATCCCCGGGAGTAGTTCCTGACACTCACGGCATCACCAAGCTTCACTCCACGCGTTCGGTTATGCTGATCATGCTGTTTCTTTTGTCTAGACTGAGCCAAATGCACCCTTGTCGCTACATCCGGTCGCAGCAGATCGAGGTAAGACCTAAGACTACGTCCCCACCGTAACTGAGCTGGAGATTTTCCAGTAGTGCTTTGCGGGGTAATTCGGTAGCTTAGAAGAAAACAAGCCAACTTGATGTCAACAGAACCGTCACCCTGTTTCTTCATCCCTGGCTTAAAGGTCTGTACCGCTCGCTCAACCAGACCATTTTGGGTGGTAAGGTGCTGAGGTAATGTGCTTGATGCCATTTTTTTTTGCGACAATGACTTAGATTCACTGCTCACAAAATTGGATCCATTATCGGACACTACAATCGCTGGTAAACCATGTGAAGCGAAAGTTGCACTCATCTTGTCTATGGTAACACTGGAGGTGACAGAGTTCACACAGTGGAGATCCTTCCACTCGAAATGGGCGTCAATGATCAGCAAGAACATCTTTCCCATGAAAGGTCCCGCATAATCTACGTGCACTCGCGACCAAGGGCGGCCCGGCCATTCCCAAGGGTGTAATGGCGAACAGGGAGGGGTCTTTTGGTGACTCTGACAAGTAGCACAACTTTTCACCTTCTCTTCTAAATTCGTGTCCATTTTTGACCACCGTACATAGCTCCTGCCTTAATTCTTCATTTTGACTATTCCCGGGTGAGTATCGTGTAATACGTTCAACGCCTCTTCTCTCCCTTGAGGGGTACTACGACCCGAGCTTCCCATAAGAGGCAGCCAGCTTGTACACTCAATTCTTCTCTTCTAATAAAATAGGGCTTCAGGGCTTCTTCTTCTACCTCAGAAGACCATCCTCGAAGAACAAACTGTGGAACTTGGGAAAGCACTGGATCACGGGCTGTCCACAATTTATCTTAGTAGCATCTACTGGGCTGGTGTTGATAGTTGCGAGGACTTTTACAATGTCCCCTAGGACGGCTGTGGACCCCGGGACATCCAAAACGGGTAAGCGATTGAGTCCATCGGCATTACCATTCTCATTTCCTGGGCAATACAGCAGTTCATATTCATAAGCTAGCAAAGTCAATGCCCACCTCTGCATCCTGCTTGAGGCCATTAAAAGCGTAGCTTTTTCAGGGTGTAGCAGCCCCAAAAGTGGTTTGTGATCTGTGTAAATCTTAAAATGGCGACCATACAAAATTGGTGGAAATTTTTCACAGCAAAAACTACAGCTAGTGCTTCTTTATCTAGGTGAGCGTAGTTCCTTTCTGCCGTAGAGACTGTACGGGAGGCATATGCCACAGGTCTCTCTGACCCATCTTCCATAGAATGGGATATAACTGCGCCAACACCGTATCATGCATACCACCAGCTTTTTCTCGGGATCATAATGTTCTAGTACGTCTAACGATTGAAGCTGGTTTTTGGCTTTATCAAATGCTTGTTGCTGTTCCACCTCCCACTTTCAAACAAAATCTTTCCACAGCAAACTATGTAGTGGTTCCAGAATGGACGACAGGTTAGGTATGAACTTCCCATAGAAGTTAAGCATACCAAGGAACGACTTCAGCTCAGTGGGGTTTTTCGGCGCTGGGCCTCTTGAATGGCCTTCACTTTTGCTTCAACAGGATGAAACCCCTCTGCATCAACTCGGTGCCCCAGGCACTCCAAACCTGGCTTCATGAATTGACACTTTACTGCCTTGAGTCGTAGACCAGCTTCCGAGAGGCGTCTTAAAACTTTCTCGAAGTGCTCTTCAGTATTGGGGCCTGTAATAAGGATGTTATCTAACAGAACTTCCGCTGAAGGGATTCCTTGAAGCAGACCCTCCATGGTTCTCTGGAAAATACCAGGTGCTGAGGCTACCCTGTAAGGGAGACGGTTATACCTGTACAGGCCCTTATCTGTTTTCATCGTTAAAGTTCTCTAAGAGTTTCATCCACAAGCATCTGTCCATAGGCATGGCTTAAATCCAGCTCAGTAAATGTTTGACCTCCAGCTAATTTCGTTTACAGATCATCAAGCTTGGGGATAGGATAGCCATCCAGTTTTGACACTTAATTAACAGTGAGCTTATAGTCTCCACAGACTATTACAGTGCCATCACTCTTCATGACAGGGACAATCGGGGTGGCCCACTCGGAATACTGGACTGGTTCAATGGTCCCTGCCCTTTCAAGTCTTTTTAGGTCTTGTTCAATTTTCTCCCTTAAAGCATACAGTACTGGTCTGGCTTTATGGAAGATAGGGGTAGCCGTGGGGTCAACATGGATTTTGGCCTTTGTCCATTGTAGAGTTTCAAGCCCCTCCTCGAACAGCTGAGCATGTTTTTGCAAAATCTCTTTCAGTCGCTTATTTTGTGACGAAAGTTGTTTGATCATGGGCCAATCCAGCTTGATTTTCTCGAGCCACTTCCCACCTAGCAAAGCAGGCCCCTTACCGCCTACAACCAAAAGCGGCAGGGAGTATTCAACCCCGTCATAACTCACATTCACAGAACAAGACCCTTTAGGTTTGACTTCTTCCCCGGTAAATGTGCGAAGGACAATTCCTGAGTCTACAAGTTGGGGTGCTTGACCTGCTGTAAAAAGGTAGTTCTATAGTTCCTCGCTAATCACAGACAACGAGGCCCCCGTGCCAACTTCCATTTCAAGGGGTTTCCCAGCGACACTTAGCTGTACTTTGTAGGGTAATGAGCGTTGACTGCCTAAGTTAAACAAGGAATATGCACCCACGCCCCGTTCCTCCCCTGGTGTTTGCATGGCACCTTCAAGAAGATTGGTAGGCTCGGAGTTGCCTGATTTCTGCTCATTAACTGGCTGTGGTTGTTTCCCTTTCTTTTTAACTGGGCACAATCGAGCTAAATGGCCAACTTTACCTCAACAATAGCACTTGCCATCTTTAAAATGACAGCTTTTGGGGTAGTGGTTGCCGCCACAACGAAAAAAATTAAACTTTGCTTCCCTTGTTAACTTTGACGTCTACTTGGTTGACAGAGGCATCCCCTCCCTGACCGTCTGCCTTCTGTATCTCTGAAGCATCCTTATCTGCTGCTTCAATGGCGAGAGCTAGATCAAGTACTCTCTTCAATGTTAATTTGGGTTAGGCTAATAACCAGCGCTGTATTCTGATATCACGAACACCACACACCAGCCGATCACGAAGTATCTCATCTAACGTAATTCCGAATTCACAGTGTTCAGACAGGTGTCTTAATTCAGGTAAAAACATTGCAATGGTCTCCCCTGGTTGTTGGAAGCGTGTCTTAAACTTGAATCGCTGAATGAAAGCCGAAAGTTTAGGCATAAAATGGTCTTGGAGGAGTCTTGCTAAATCTTCATAGCTTTTATCCTTTGGATCTTCTGGGGCAACCAAACTTCGCACGAGTTTATAGGTTTTCGCTCCCACACAAACCAGAAAAACGGATCTCCTCTTGTCAGGATCTGTGATTTCATTTGCTTCGAAGAAATGGTTTACACGCTCGATGTAATGGTGCCAATCTTCAGTTTCGTTGTTCTCGTCCAACTTCCTAAACGTGGGCATGATTCCCTTCCCTTCCCTTCCTTTGTCTATCTTGCAGTGGGCGTCCGTGCACGTTCCTCGTCGCCAAAAATGTAGTGTCTTGAGTGACTAAACCGCTTAAATACTCTCACGGAACACGACGAGTCGACAAGCACATGGTTCGGACTGACAGAACAACACGACAGGGCTCACGTGGCCCCCAAACAAGGTCCCAGGATGGCACAATCATATTATAAAATCGAACGTTAAAAGAAAAGTAAATTTCCCACTGCTTAATTAAATATGCGTGAACAGGTCAAAAAATGTTTAACTAGTACTTCGCCCCATGTAAGGGCATCTGGAAAATTTTTGCTTGTAGCATCCGGAATTCGGGAAAATTTTGATATGGAATCCGGAATCCAGTTCTTTGGAATCCAGAATAGAGCTGAAGTATCCCACTAAGGAATGAAATCTAGAATCCAAGTTCCACTGGAAAAGACTGGAATCCAGCACCCAGAATCCAGAATTCATGGAGTGGGATCCAGAATCGAAGACTGTCTCGCATTCGCTAACATGGGGCGATAGTACTGGACTGTGCACGGCAAATTACTATTTTCCCTTTATTTACCTTCCACTGATCAGGAGCCCACATTTGAAGACTTTGTTAATGAAATTTCATTTAGAAGGATCTGTGATTTCATTTGCTTCTTCCTATAAAGGGTGGTCAGCTTTTGTTCTCACGCTCCAAGAGACAGTGCGGAGTTCAAGACTACTTTTGTATCGCAGCCAGTTAATAAAGAAGTTGGCAAACACAAATAATAACGTTTCAACATTAATTTCAAATCGTGCAACATCAGTGAAAGTAACAAGAAAATAAAGTGTGAAAGTTTACGCGGTTTTTCCCAACTGATAAAAGTACAGGAATGTCAGGACACCATTACTTCTCACCATGAAACCTGTCATCCATCGAAGTCTGAACTAAATGAAACAGGGCCAATACTCTCAAAAGATGGTAATCGTTGACCTTACGAAAAATCACGTGGAACAGATGGCGACCTGCTTCCCAAGGAGGACTCCCATACAAAAGTGACGTGGGTGCTCGTCGTTTGAAGATTTTGGTCTCACTTCGGTTGTTTGGGACGGAAAGTTACTAAATATGCTCATTCAGGTATTGCTTAGGGCTATGCATAAAGAAGTTTGCAAAAAAATAAAAATAAAAAAAATAAGCCGTGACGCTGACCTCACAGAAATCTCCTTTAGTGGTCAGTTTAAGCTTGAGCCCACCCACATTGGCCTCCCTTAGGGGTTTAAATAATAGATTATTAATTTTCCGACGAGCAGCCCCTTCACTTTTATATGGGAGTTCTCCCGGGCATTACCCACAAATATCGACATATAAACTCGGACGATTTTAGCGGCCACCTCGTTCTTCGCATAGAGGACCAAGAAAGGAATATTAGGACCAAGGACAGGCATGTAATTGGTTTGGAGATTGCGAAGATCGTATACCATCTATTTTAAAGGATGGAATCACGTACGTATAAAATCGTAAAATCATTTGTAATATCCTTATCACCAGAAGTTCTCATTGAGAAGGGAAGTGCTGCCGTTAGTTTCGATGCTAATAGGCCAAGATAGTATGTGGAACAGTTGAACATGAATTCTATTAAAGTTAATAACTTAGCTTAGACTTGTTGGAATTATGAAACACTCGAAGCGTAATATAAAAAACGAACCGATCGCAATGACAAATATGCTTACATATTCAGATAACTCGCTAAAGTTTTAATATGATTTTGTAATTCATTTAATAATTCACTAAATTCTAAAACGACAGCAGCGCTGATGGACTGTTTCTTCATCGAACAATCATCGTACACATGACGAGAAGAGTTGCGAACAAATAACGTAAAGGCCAAAACTTGTTTATTCACAGGTCGGGTAGACGTACAGCACATGCCGCTCACTTATGTAACTTTATACAATCCTGATTCCCTAGATAACAATTTGTGTGACAAAAGAATACTCGTATAAGTAATCTTGAAACCGAGAATAAAATAAATAAACCGAAAAAACATGTACTGTACAATACTTCTTGAACTGCTCTTACCGTTTAGGCCGTTTAAAGAGACAGCAAACATTTGATGGACTATGATTTCTGCACAGATCTTACATGAGAACAAAACAAAATGGTGGGTTGCTCCTAAGAGAAAAATAGGCGCGGTAGCTAAGCACTCCTTAAACAAACCGACCGCTGACTGCACAGCGCCGCAGTCACAGATTGATTGAACCATGGAACCATTGAACTAAAAATCTCAAATCGCTCAAGAATAGGGTCTGCTGCCGGCTGATGCCCGGCAGCAATTAGTTCCTTTATCTGTGATAAGATAACGACAAAAGGGCCAATGGGTATCGTGGTAATCGTAATTTCAACTTCAGAAAATGACAAACTCAGTAGTCCACTCAATTTTTTTTTCTTTAGAAATATGCGGGAAGTGAAGATCCAAACATAATGAATAATGAAGTTATGGAGAAAAGTAGGAAGTGGTTTTAAGTCTAAAATCCTGATATTAATCACTGTTGCACAATGGCATAAAGTTACACAGTCAGATGATACACTTGCACATTTGATACCATTTATGAGCTGATCGATTTGAATATCACAAGATACACGCATGAAACAGAAAGTGATAAGCGCATCCTTTGCATATCTAAACCTAATGTGGAGTCGAAGTTAAGGTGACTCGACCCAGTTTTTTTGGGGGGGTACCATCCTACTTTGAAGCTCTCTGGTATCCCCACCTTTACTTTTATCGTAAGTCTAACACATAGAATGGATAATATATAGATCAATCTACAATATAACATAAAATTTTTGGCGATCGGAGTATATGTCACGTGGTTATAATGCCACGCCCCTTTGAGGTCTGAGTCAAAAATCTGCTGTTGCCGGCATTTTTTCGTGAAAATCTCTCGACTACACATAGTGCGCATTAGTGCCTTGCGCTGAACAGAGTTTCACCAAAATCGCAAAGACCCAATTCGAGAAATTTAGCGGTTTCCAAATTTAGGTCATAATTTATGCGAAAATGATAAGCAAACTTTACACGGATTATATCTAATAAACTAGGAGATTCATCTCTTTATTTTGGGCATCGTTATAACAGATGGGTCCTGTGCAAGTCAGCCAAACGCTTTAGGGCCTTGTAAATGCGCGCGATTTCGAGTAAAGCAAACATATAGAAATTATAGTTTTCGCTATTTGTTGACGTTTGTCAGCGTTTAAGAGTCCTTCTCACGAAAAAAGCATTTTCTTAAAAATTCGTAGTTTTTTTTCCTTCAAATTTTTTCAGGGCCACAATTGATTAACTAACTACCCGGACTCTGAATTTCATGGTCATTGAAAAACTGTGACATTATCTTCTATAAGCCCAAACTTGAGTAAACATTGAAGATTTTTAGCGTTTTGGCTGAGTTTGTGCTTTGGGAGTTGTCTATTGTTTCTAGTCTGTCATTATACAGCATTCTTGTTCAGCACGCGTGCAATGACCGCGCTTGGCTGACTTCCGAATGCTCACCGAGATATAATAATTTTGGTACAGTGAGACAGGCCATCGCGTGATACATAGAGGTTTAAGTCACAATTTTTAATCAATTCTCGTGCTTCTTGTGCCTTTGCAAAAAAATCAAGAAGTGCTACACACTAAATCTACTTACTATTAAAAAAATATCATTTTTTCATAGGTTTAATGCAAGCCAATAATTAAACCAACTCGTGACGGGAATATCTCGGTGAGCATTCGGAAGTCAGCCAAGCGTGGTCATTGCACGCGTGCTGAACAAGAATGCTGTATAATGACAGACTAGAAACAATAGACAACTCCCAAAGCACAAACTCAGCCAAAACGCTAAAAATCTTCAATGTTTACTCAAGTTTGGGCTTATAGAAGATAATGTCACAGTTTTTCAATGACCATGAAATTCAGAGTCCGGGTAGTTAGTTAATCAATTGTGGCCCTGAAAAAATTTGAAGGAAAAAAAACTACGAATTTTTAAGAAAATGCTTTTTTCGTGAGAAGGACTCTTAAACGCTGACAAACGTCAACAAATAGCGAAAACTATAATTTCTATATGTTTGCTTTGCTCGAAATCGCGCGCATTTACAAGGCCCTAAAGCGTTTTGCTGACTTGCAAGGACCCATCTGTTATAACGATGCCCAAAATAAAGAGATGAATCTCATAGTTTATTAGATATAATCCGTGTAAAGTTTGCTTATCATTTTCGCATAAATTATGACCTAAATTTGGAAACCGCTGAATTTCTCGAATTGGGTCTTTGCGATTTTGGTGAAACTCTGTTCAGCGCAAGGCACTAATGCGCACTATGTGTAGCCGAGAGATTTTCACGAAAAAATGCCGGCAACAGCAGATTTTCGACTCAGACCTCAAAGGGGCGTGGCATTATAACCACGTGACATATACTCCGATCGCCAAAATTTTTATGTTATATTATAGATTGATCTATATGTTATCCATTCTATGTGTTAGACTTACGATAAAAGTAAAGGTGGGGATACCAGAGAGCTTCAAAGTAGGATGGTACCCCCCCAAAAAAACTGGGTCGAGTCACCTTAAATTACCAAATTCGTGATTACCTTCCTTTAGGCTTATTACTGAGGATACTCATGACAATTGTTTGGTACCATGGATAATTCACCGAAAGAATTTTCTATTGAAGCCCAACGTGGACAAAAACCTCTGAATTCGAACAATCAGTAGAGGTCAGAACTGACGCAAAGTCTGAATCCGGCATTGTCGAAGGTTTGCGCAACACGAACGTTTCTCCGGGTCGAGACCCCTACACTGTTTTCACGTCTTTTCTCGTCTCACGTCTTGTTAGCGGTTATTACCCTGTTCTTACAGACGCTTGCATTCTACCACGTTAAAGGTCAAATGAACCAAAAATTCGACATTTTTTATTTTAGTTCAATTCTATTGAAATATGTTTAATATGAATCGAATAAACATACTATGAAGTTTCA